GGGGGGGGGGGGGGGGGGTGAGGGCGTGGGTTTCGGCTTCGGGGGTCCTGGGCGGAGTTTAGCTAGTGGTTTCAGGTTTTGGAGTTCGGCTAGGTTGAAGCAGGGTCAACAGTCGACCACTGATGTGTATGCATGTATGCATGCATGCATGATGTATGCATGCATAGATGCATGCATACATACATAAATAGATACGTACGTACGTACATCCATACATCCGTACATACATACATACATACATACATACATACATACATACATACATACATACATACATACACATCTACATCTACATTTACATATAAACACACATTGGTATATTCCGATCTGTAGAAGTTTGCACACCAAGAGGGACTGGTTGGAATTCAAGCTTTTTGGAATTCCGGGACATCCCGAATCCCAACTTGCCAGAGTCGAGCTTTGGGTTGAGGCTTGATCTCAGATTCCGGCTTAGGGTTTGGGGTTGAGGGCTTAGCATCGAAGACCGTGAAGCCTTAGCTTGGGAATTCAGGCGCATCAGCTTCAGGCCAACAGCAGAGCTCCCAAGTCGGCTCTGAACCCTAAACCCTAAACCCTAAACCCTAAACCCTAAACCCTAAACCGTGGACCCCAGTGCCAGACGCAAAGATTGGATCTCAGGGCTTCGGGGCCGGTAACATCTCATGATGGAACCAATGTAGGGGCCTTAGCAATTAGAATAGGGTTTTGGGTTATCTTTTACTATCATTACATTAAGGAATACCACAACATAGTATAGGTAATTATTTAGGCTCCTATATTATCTTGTCCGAGGATGCTGCGCGCGGCGGTATCTGTTGGGAACACATCCTTTGCAGGACAAGACAGGAGTTACAACTCTGCCCCTTCGGGACCTGCTTCCCTAAACTCTAAGCCTAAACCCTAAACCTTAAACCCTAAACCAAACCCACCATGCAAGGCTTTTGGTGAGGTTGCACAGTGACTTTGAAGCGGACAATGCGGTCGATCGCGAACTTCGTCGTTCTCCTCGACATTAGGCTTCACACTTAGACTAGGGTTTGGTGTTACATCCTAGTATACTCATATGGCTTGAACGGCTCGACTTGTGAATGTCGGCTTGTGGTGTGCTGGAGACTACTAAAAATGTGGGTTGGCAAGAACATTTCCAAAATGGCAGGCACAAGCCAAGATGGATACAGTACCAGGAAGAACCATTACCAGCATCACGAGCTGCAGCAGCGGTGACGGCCACCGAAATCCAAATCACAACAGTAGCGAGAGCTGGAAAATAAAACAAAACATATATATATATATATGTATATGTATATATATATATATATATATGTGTTAGACCAGAACTAGAAGGTGGGCAACATCAATTTGGAGATCCCCATACCAAAAGACGACTAAACCATAGTAACAGGGACCGTTGAGGCAGTTTAGTCCGTCTATATCGCCCACAAGCGAAAGCCATCTTGCTCAGAGATTCTTTCCGTCCACCAGCTGCTCGCCGTTGTTGCCCACCACCTCGTTGTGCAGATAGAACCTGGAAGATTCAGAAACTCAGATGTAGGGGTCTTAATTATGAGAATAGGGGTTTTGGGCTTCTTTGTAGTATACTTAAAATTAAGTAACCCCTAACAGTAATATTGGTATTTATTTAGGGTTTTATATTCGCATCATGTCTTGGGGTCTGGAAGAGGGTCCCCCGACTGCTGCAAGGGTCGAGGTGTGCGATGTTGTTGCTGGGGCTCCAGGCTTTGGAAACCCGAAACTTGCATAATGTAGGGGCCTTAATAATTAGAATGGTGTTTTAGGGGTTCCTTATTATAATTATAGTATCAGATACACCAAACCATATTCTAATTATAGAGGCCCCTATATTAATACCTTAAAGCAAATCTACACTGAGCTTGTAAATTGCCGGAACCTCCAAGTGCAATCCCTACCCCTTTGAAACTTGCAGCCCTCAAGCCTCAAACGCTTCAGCCCTAATTCCCCAAGCCCGAAACACCTGCATCCCTAAGCCCTACATGCTTTTGACATGATCACATTAGGCCCTAAACCCTGAACCCTAAACTCTAAACCCCTAAACCCCTAAACCCTAAACCCCTAAACCCCTAAACCCTGAGCCCCCAAACCCCCGTGCAGTCCAAGGCGCAGGACACCTCCCAGGCTGGCCATGTCCATGTTCTCCCACTTCCGGTCGGGATCGTACTCACAAGGCGGGTTTAGGGTTCGGGTTTAGGGTTTAGGGTTTAGGGTTTAGGGTTTAGGGTTTAGGGTTTAGGGTTTAGGGTTTAGGGTTTAGGGGTTTAGAGGAGGCGGCAGGGCTTTTTGGGTTTCAGAAGTGTTCCCAACGGGTTGTTCGAAACGGGTGCTGAATTATGATTTAGGGGGACCCCCCTGAGGGGGTATGGCAAATGGAGTTTGCTAGCAGAATCTGATGGTCGGAAAGCAAGGCCTGCCAAGCATTAGCAACGGCTGGCATGCCTT